ATTTTTATTATTTTAATGGAATTATAATAAGCAATTTATAATTTTCTAATTGAATGATAATCTTAAAATCTCAATAAAATTATCATTAATTAGATTATTGCATATCAAATTACAGTATTGAATATGCAGAATTAATTTACTATTCTTACCATAGATTGAATCTCTTATTGATACACATCTACCTTACCATATATTGAATATGCAGAATTAATGCAAATTCCATTTTACAATCATTCCCCATAAAAGAATTTGCCAAAATATTCGTTTCACAATTTTTTGCTTCTCATACTTGAGTTATGCAAACCTGAAACTAACTACAAACTGCTCTAAAGAATACATTTCAAGCACTATCCAAAATCGTTTGACACCCTGAAAATCAAGTTGAACCTAAAAGTTTAGAAATTCACCAATTCATTTATCATGTATGATAGTAGAATCGAGCTCTTGGAGTCTCAATGTAAATCTTTAGGGTTCCAATTTGTAAGATTCATGTTGATCACAAGATTGAACAATTTTTCCTTTCAACGGTATTGAGATTTGATTGGAATAAGTGAAGAGCTTAAACCTGTTTTAAGCTTTAGAAAGGGTACTATGTTATGACAAGTATTTTGTGAGAATTTATAACGTCAAAGACAACACCTTACAGATAACATTATCTTTTTTTTTTGGCATAGATAGATGAATAACATAGTCAGAGAACAGTACACAACCAAACGCGCCAGTCGACAAGTAGTCGAACTGCCGATGAAAGGGCCTTTTGTGCCACTAAATGGGCAGCCCTGTTGTACATGCGAGGAGTAAAAGTACAAGAAAACACCGAAAAAGAAGACACAGCCACCCGAATCTCCTCCATAATTGCACCACCCCGTCCATGTGCAACATCTCTCTCCCGTACGGCCCGGATCAACATTTGGCAGTCCCCGCAAAAATTCACCACAGGAAAACCATGCATTAGACACCAGCTTATCGCGTCACGTAATGCCAACAGTTCCATGATAAAAGGGTCATCTATACCTGGGTAATGTTTCCCTAAAGCAAACATTAGGCTTCCATTAGCTGAGAAACCAGCAAAGCCAACTCCGCCCCCTGATCCTTGCCGCCAAGCCCCATCAAAACGCACTAGAACTCCTCCTTCAGGACACAACCCATCATGTCCAGTTCTCGATGCCGGTATTTATCTCCCGTGACCCCGCGGACCCTGGTGCAGCAAAAGCGGAGATGTCGCAGCCCGCCATTCCTCCACTTGTGCTTGGAATTGACGCAGTAATGCTGGCCCTCTATATTGAATGAATTTGTGTATCGCCCAACACCTCGATTTCCACACTCGCCAGCATAAGAAAACAACATTAGCAACATCAGTTTTAGACAGGCGGCATTCGAAGAAGAGAGTCTTCCAAAAATCCAAATGGGAAAGAGAAGATAACCTGGCACGAAGGAGGCCAAAGCCAGCAAGTTCCCATAGCTCCACTGCTACACGGCAATGCAGGAACGAATGAAGGATGCTTTCAATCCCATCAGAGCAAATAGGACAAACATTATCATCAACCAGGGGCTTGTAGTGAAGCACCGCACGAACAGGTAGAAATCCCCGTGCCATCCTCCAGCAAAAGACCCTCAATTTTGGCGGCACCGGCAGCTGCCAAAGAAAATTCCAGAATCGTTTATCATATGGTAAATCGCGAGGCGGATGGGTCCTGTTCAGCTCCGAAGATAGGAGTTGGTACCCCGTCTTAACCGTGTATTCCCCTGAAACAGAATAATGCCACACCAATTTATCCGGAATAAGCTGGTTGGGCAAAGGAATAGATAAGATCAGCTCTACTGACTCCACAGTGAATAAATCCTGCAAGACAACCACTTTCCAAGTGTGGGATTGGGGGCAAATTAATTCTGAAACAAAAGTGTATGACATGGAAGCATTGGGTAGTAGAGAAGGTGAAGAAGGAGGGGAAGAGGGCAGCCACTTATCTGTGAGAATGCGCACGGCAGCACCATTACCAATGCGCCATCGGAGACCACGAGCCAATAAATCTCGCCCCTCAAGTATGCCTTGCCACGCCCAAGAAGCACGAGAGCCGACTTCAGCTGTGAGAATGGATGTAGAAGGATGATACCGGGCCTTGTATAGGACTGCAATTGTAGAGTCTGGCATTTGGAGTAATCGCCATGCCTGTTTTGCCAAAAGTGCAATGTTAAAGCGATCAAAATCTCGAAAACCTAACCCACCTTCAAACTTACTGTGACACACTTCGGGCCAAGATAGCCAATGCATGCCCTTCTCTTTGTCTTGATTAGCCCACCAAAACCGTGATAATTGATTGTTCATTCTTCGGCAGGATGTGGCCGGAATGCGGAAGGCAGACATGGCATAGATTGTGGAGGCAGATCCGACGGATTTGATCACAGTTTCCTTTGCTGCCAATGACATCGATTTCGACTTCCAAGATCGGATTCTGGCTGCCAATCTGTCTTCCAAGAATTGAAAAGTCCTTGTCTTGGACCGTTGCACCTGAACAGGCAAGCCTAAGTACTTGTCCTGCAAACCCACTTCCTTTACTCCAAGATAATTGGCCAAACTCTCCTTCTCGTGATCCTCAACATTTGCACTTGTACAGATGGTGGACTTTTGCAAGTTCACTTGCTGCCCACTTGTGAGACCATATTCCTCAAACACATGTAAAAGATGAGCACATTCGGGAACAGACGCACGAAGAAACAAGTAAGTGTCATCAGCAAACATAAGGTGAGAAGTAATGGGGGCCCGTCGGTGAATCCGTAACCCATGCAGGTTGTTAGAATAAATCTCTTGATTAATTTTTGCCGTGAAAGCCTCTGTATATAAAGCAAATAACAGAGGGGAGAGAGGGTCACCTTGTCGGATGCCACGTTCTGGTTTGAAATACCCGTACGTTCCACCGTTGATGATTACTAAGAAGCTCACTGTTGAAATACATGTTCGTATCCACTTGATCCACGTTGAGCAGAATCCCAGTTCCTGCAAAATAGAAAGGAGAAAGGACCATTCGACCCGGTCGTATGCCTTCTCCATATCAAGTTTCAGTGCCATCCACTTATCCCGCCCCTGCACTTTGGTTTTTAAAAAATGCATGACCTCTTGACCAATCAAAATATTGTCAGTGATACATCGACCACGTACGAAACCATTTTGATTCAGACTTACAATATCAGGCATGATACGGCTAAGCCGACAAGCAAGTATTTTCGCGATAATCTCGTAAAAGACCTGACATAAACTGATCGGCCGTAGTTGCCTCATCGTGTCTGCATTGGGAAATTTGGGGAGAAGGGTAATGCACGTGTGATTTAAGCTATGCAAGAGCCGGCCTGACGCAAAGAACGATAACACAGCTGCACTAATATCCTTTCCAATAATGTCCCAATGAGCTTGGAAAAATCCTGCAGAAAATCCATCAGAGCCAGGTGCCTGGAACCGGCCAATGCTAAACACTGCAAGTTTAATCTCGTCTAATGTGACTGGTGCAGTTAGATAAGTATTCATGTCAAAAGTAACTTTCCTAGGCAACCTTAGACTCTGGACAAAAGGTGTAGGATCAATGTGATTGGAGGTAAAGAGAACTTGAAAGTATGGAATGGAAATACCCGCCATCTGGTCCATTGAGTGATGAAGAACGCCCATGTCATATCGGAGCCCCTCAATCCGATTATTCCTCCGACGCTGAAGGACGGCCAAATGAAACAACCGGGTGTTAGAGTCCCCGCCTTGCAACCAGCCCACTCTTGATTTCTGCAGCCAAAATAACTCCTCCTGTCTGAATGCCTCGGACAATTGTGTGTCCAGTTGCTTAATGTGCTCCCAGTCCGCCATTTCGACCTCCCGGGCAGCTTCAATAGCCTGTTTGTATTCGCGGATCGAGCGGGCAGAATTAGATGTACCGACACGCGCCCAGTCGACCAGATCATGGCGGACGTTCTTCAGTTGGTTGAATGCACGGAATTGAAGTGTGCCATGTACGGGTTTGCCCCAAGCCTGCCTGATGATATCAACCGCCTCGTGATTCGTATCCCATCGCCCGTCGTAGTGAAAACGAGTTTTGGTGGGCTGATTTTGAGATGTGAGCTGCAACAATAACATCCGATGATCAGAACCCAAATGAGTAAGGTGGATTACCTTGAGTTCAGGCCAGGATGAAAGGGCATATACAGTTCCCAGGCAACGATCTAAACGTTCCATGATGTGTGCCGAATCTGACTGCCTATTGGACCATGTGAATGGTGATCCATGGTAGCCTACGTCCACCAGCCCTGTTGCATTAACAAACATATTTAATTGATCCAATTCCGCAACCGATGGAATGTTACCTCCACGCTTTTCCGTTAGAGACAGGAGACAATTGAAGTCACCCAGCACAAACACTGGGATAGAGAACGACAAAACAAAAGCTCCAATTTCATTAAGTTGATCCTGCCTAGTAGCAACATCACAAGATAAATGCACAAATAATAAAGCAAAAGACCCTACACCTACAACTGTACATTCAAGAACACTAAGAAATCCTGAAAGGTAATGCACTGTACATGAGGTACTAGATGACCAGGCTACAGCCAATTCCCCCCTTCCATTAGCAGAATGATGACATCGACAGTTACGATAGCCCAAGCTGGCCAATCTACCTTGCACATACTCCTCATCACGTCTGGTTTCACTAAGAAGGATAACATGAGGGCGAAATCGACCGGTGGCTCCACCAAGAGTTGGAATTGTCAAGGAGGAGCCGATTCCTCGACAATTCCAAGCGAGAATGCTCATGGATTACCGTGGGACCAGTCGGGGCTGGTTGCCTCCACCCTTGAGTTTGTGTCCAGAGCCGGAACGTTGTGCTTGGCCCTCTTCGCTGTAGGCGGTGAGGAAATGCCAGCATCCTCATCTATCATCCCGTCCTCCACTTCAGTGGTTTCCAGATGTGTAGAAGCCGCAACAGATGGTTCAACATTCAAGGATAGCAGTTGCATCCTCTCCCCTACCTGAACAGGCCGAGGTCTACGCGTCTCCACCCAGTTGGAACCCAAACCAGCCCCATCTGCTCCACCAACACTCCGCTAGGAGTCTGAGGACGCGGCATCTTAAATCCGCCAGCCAGCCTGAACGAAGGAGGTTTTTGAGACATCGCCCGCAACCAAGTGAATCGCTTCTTACGTCGCGACAGCATGTCCTCTATAATCTCAGGCCCCGATTCCTCTGACACCGTGAACCGCCCATAGCGCGGAGAGTCATCCTCTAGTTCGGCCTTGCGCGGGCAATTGGCGCCAATATGCCCTATGATTCCACAGAAGTAACAAAAGACAGGCAATCGTTCATACTTAATCTTGACAATGAAATTACCTTTGCCCGCCTTAACATGTACAGCCTCAATCTCAACTGGAAGCGGCGCCGCCAGATCAAGAACCGGTTCGGCTCTAAAGTATAGTCCACCAGATACGTCGGAGCGGTGAAGGGTTGGAGCCGTCGTCTCCCCTAGCGCAGACCCTAACCGCTGTGCAAGTTTGGCGGTGAAGCACTCAAATGGCACCCCCCACATCTGTACCTCTAGTGGTGCCCAAAGCAGCGATGCTGCAACTGCCGGTGAGGGAGGAACCCACGAGCGTACAACAAGCATGTACTTGGGGAAGATCCATGGAGACCCCTTTTCGACCTTCCGCAGGTCCGATTGCGCGGAGAAAATGATTTGGGTCAGACCCAATTCTAACGGAGAGATGGTGAATTCGCCGTCGGGCCGCCAGACGCGAGTCAAGGTTGTCTTGACCGTATGCAACGCCGGCGGCAGCCCCACCAGTCGCCCGATCAGCGAGTGTTCTTCCCTATCAGCGCCAGCCGCTATGTCGGCATCATCGAAGTGAACAACCACCGCCATCGTATGTGTGTGCAAAAGTGGAAAACCTACCTCCCAGAACATAGTGGAAAATGCAATTGGGGACGAATACCTCCCATCCCCGGGGGATTTAAAGGCCATCCCAGCCCGCAAGGCCAGGCCCCGGCGTCGCACGACGGCGATTTACCCGTACCGGCCGCTGCGCACGAAGGCGGTAACCCCCACTTTCGCTTGACGAAGCGCACGATGGAGGAGAGAGGGGAGAGGAACCGTTCTCTTTTTTTTTTTCCTCCTTGGATACTGTTCAAACTACAGATAACATTATCTTTACTCTTCCATTCTTTTTAACTTCAAATTCATTCGAGAAAAGGATATCGTACCCACTAAAACATATAGTTTTAGACTAAATATTGTACCTCATTATTGTTAGTTTACAAATCCAGGTTCTAGTTTCGAGTTATGTGGACAACTGCAAATATTTAATTGTGCTTAGGGATGAGTGTATTTGTTGATGGAGATAACAACGATTCGATAAAAAGGAAAAGTCATTTGATGATGGAGAAATGAATTTCAATGATGGCGAGAGAGTGAATACCGGCTAATCTTCATGGTTTAGATAAGATAAATTCTACTAAGTGAAAATTATGTTTCATATGAGTCTTCGACTTTTCAATAACTAGACAGTTTGGACTCTTTTCTGATAACATATAATTGTTATTATTGTTGTACTGTTAATGAATATGAAATGTATCCACTACAGAACCAGATCTACTAACTATAAATCACAATTATCTCTCTGATAATTGATAATGAGAACAAGACATCTTAAATGTGAAACTTTTTATTTGTCGATAATGAGGATAATAATGAGGAAGGGTATCCATCTTTGTGATTCTGTAACTGCTGACGACAATGGCTCATCTTGCTTGCTTCCATCCACATTAACTTTTACCCATCCAACGTTTCTAATGCTCTTCTTGCCTAGATGCTGCTCGTTGGTAGGAGCAAGAAAGAAGAGAGCTAGCAGGCCGAATTGCAAAGACTTGGATTGACAGACAAGAGTTTAGAAATGGGAAGAACAAATCATTGGTGATGGAAACTGCAGTGTTCCTGGTATTATTGCCACAACACACCTCTACTAACACCATAACAACAACGGGGACAACAACAACAACAACATCATCAAAGGTTTGTTCACAGCAACACCATCCAACCTCGCCACTCTCAAGGTTTATCCGCACATACCCTGCACCAAAGGACTCCCTTTTGAGTTACATACTCGTTACGAAAGAAGAAGGCAGGGAAGCATTTAGGGTTCAGGAGTTGCGACAGTGGCGAGTTCAACCGAGATTATGAAACTCGACTTCCCAGCCTCCCTTAGGTACTTCACATCTCCATTCATGAGCTTCACCAGCTTCCGGCTAATCAGCAAGCTGATACCCTCCTCCTCCTCTGAGGTTTCACCATCCACGTCAAACATTTGGCTCAATACTCCTTCAGGTACCCCAGAACCGGCATGCATTATCCTGCAAGGAACATACAAGTAGATGATGATGATGTGGCAGGCAGATTGTAGCAGGATACCGTGGGAAATGGAAAACAATGAGCTCCCTTCTTCAGGCATACGTCATTCGTGCATGCAATACTAACATCACCGTTAGAGGGAGGAAACACGAGGTATGGCCCAGGGGTGGTAAAAGTGATCATGGTCAACATGTCACCGCGGAGCCACTAAAGCAAAAAATAATATCATGATGTTATATAATATAACCCATACTACGTCGTGTTTACACACAAAGTATAGCAGTTATTATCGTCCGGGACTGAAGTCGAGTAGAAATTATATTACATAAAATACTATTTACCATAAAATGAATGTTCAGTTAGTAAGTACTAGATATTACAGTATTAATAATGATCTACCACAGTGTTCGTTAGATGAGCTTGCATCAAGTATTGAATTCTAACATATACCAGTAGCATCAACCATTCCAAGAAAAACCCTCAAATCAATATATTCACAAAGATCAAAGATATGAATTGGTTACAAAAACACACCTTAGCTCCAAATTCACGAGATGTACAGACTGCCCCAACTGGTCCTTGCTCAAGTTAGCTGCTACAGTAAGCTGTCCGCCCGTTGGCATGGAGTTTACCGATATCAGCAAGAACTCTGCCAACACCTGCTGAAGCCGAATGCTATCTCCGTATAAGGTCTCATCCATGATGTCTTCTGCTACATCATTAACTATTTGAATACCCTTCCCGTTGCACTTCATCATAACTTGACTGATAGAGGCAACCAGTACTTCATGCAGAGTGAACTCAACCATTTCCAGATCCGAGCACCTGTCAGCAATCATCAGAACCATCTATTTGTAAAGCAAAAATAAATATAACAACTCCAATTGGTACTGGACGCCATTGATCTCTCTATCCCTTCACCTCTATAAACTACTCGGTCTATACGAACAAAACCAGATTTGCTCTATGAACAAAGGTCGTGGGCTGTAGCCAAAAAAGGGAGTAAAATCAAATGTTCTACCAGGTTAACATCCTGAATTCCCCTTAATTATCCAAAAGTAAATAAATTCCCGAGTCCCATTTAGTTAGTGAACATGGAGTACAAAATGATGAAATGAACAAAATAAATAGGAAAGAGTGAGACTTAGCAATATCCCTACCCTTCAATGATGCTATCGAGATCCGAGTCTTCAATGATCCTACTAAGCTGACGTTGGCATTGCGCACTGGTATGCAAGAGCTGCTTCTGTTCTGCTCTCAGTTCGGTGCTCTCCATCATTTTCCGGGAAAATATCATTCCAGACAGAGGATTCCTAACCTGCCTTTTTATGTAAGCCAAGGTTTTCAACCTCCTTTGTGCAGTTTGCTCTGACAACCTCTGAACATGAAGCGCTTGTTGCAGCTCTTGGCTAGCTAGCTGCAGGAAGCAGAACACTCCATTCACTGCACCCTCTTGGTCCAACTTTTTGCTGACACACAACAAGCAGTCAACATACTTTCCTTTCCGTGAAAAGAAACCAAAGGACAGTTTCTCAGGTTCTTGGCCGGTCATTGCACTATTTAGTACAACGCCCAAATTAACAAACACTTCTTTGTTTTTGAGACGACAACATGCCACATTGGTCCCAAACACCTCCCCTAACAGCATTTTATCCAGTACCTCCTCTCGCTTCCAACCAGTGAGCTTCATCATGGCTGTATTCCACTCGGAGCACCAGCCAAATTCATCAATTCCAAATATTGGAGGAATCAATGGATTTGGATTCTGTACAATTGCTTTGTAATCACCTTCTATACGGGTGAATTTGTCCATAACAATTTTATGCCCAGTGATATCTTGAGCCACAAAGCAGACCCCTACAACATTCTCTTGAAGGTCTCGACTTGCACAAGCGTTCACAACTAATCTAATGGGACCAAAGTCACTCCTGGAACCATGAGTTTTTATCTCGAATTCGACATTCTGCTCCTCTCTACCTGAAAACAGAGAAGAAGCCAGAGAAAGTAAAGATCTAGTTTCAAATAAATATCATAAACAGCAGAGGATAACATATTTCATGTAGTAAGAAACACAAGAAATAAAGCATTTTCACAGGGCAGCCAAACTTAACACTTACAAGTGTGTGTAGTTCAGCTCACTCCTATACTAGAATCTCAACTGTTACCTCCTTTACGTGCAATACTTGAAGATGGTCAAAGTATAAACTAAGATGATTGAGAAAGGATATACCGTGCTATGCGAAGGTATAAAGTAGCATATCATTGAAAAATGACATACCTTGCAACGCGGAGGATAGCATCTGCTCCACTGAGTCTATTGAAGAATCTTCCACAAGGGTCAACAAATGTTTTCCTATTGCTTCATCAATATTAAGACCAGTTAACTCGGCAATTTTGGAATTCCACCCATTGACAAGACCTTCTACATCAACTGCTAAGATTGGCACTGTAGCTGTTTCGATCAAACGGACCATCTCACCGGTCAATGCTTCTAGTTCTTGCATCCCGTCAATTTTTAGGTCACTAAGCCTTGTGTGAATCATTCTTGTATCCACGTCTAAGGCCTCGACATCCTTGAATGCATTTCTTAATATAAGCTGCAGAGAATGAATGGCATCCATTTCATTGTCCTTCCAAGGCAAGCTCCTTGTCTTGACAACTTCAAGGAATGCCTTGAAAGAAGATCTTGGGTGCATTTTCCTTCCGTCATCTTCCTCTCCAGGTTCATGCTTTGCACCACCCCATCGAACTTCAGATGCAGTTTGAGCACGGAACCAAAATAGAAGGTCACCAGAAGTTATTCTCACAGCTGCCATTCCACAAACCACATCACCAAGAGCCAAAGCTCCTGGGTAACCTGCATCATACAAGCTATCCGTACTCAGACCAGTGGAATCCATATGGTACTCTGAGAGCCAGCGAGTAATATCTTGTATCTGGAAATCGCTAGGTGTTGCACCCAACCTCCACACCTTGTTCTTGTAAAATAGTGCAGCACCATCACATTTCACTAGATCCATAATGTTTGGACTCTGTGTTACAATACCTAACGGTGCATCACGCATCAACATATCACATAATAGTGTCTGAGTACGAAGGATATTCTTTTCCACCATCTGATTTTCTAACTCTAGCTCTTTATTCACATGGATCGCAAATACTTGAGCTAGAAACTCACAAGCACTCCTAAGAGGGAATGGAACAAACCGTGGGCTAGTATTATGACATACAACTAAACCCCAAAGCCTTTTTCGCTTCTGGGGCTGTTCAGAGCTAGTAATGTCGCTATCATCATCCCCCTCATTCACAATGACAGCCATAACCAACGAAGCAATAGAGTCCATGTTTTCCATGTACTGTAAGTGACAAGTGTGAGGGGCCCTCAGGGTAGAACCACATAAGGTCAGATCAAATGGAAGTTCATCATCTTGAAGTACCTTGATGTGCTTTGCACGGCAATCAACAATCATCCTAACCTTATTTTTCATAAACAGGAATCGTGCTGCCTGTGGAATATCAGTTGCTGGATAATGCAAACCCAAGTACGGCTCCAACCCGGGCTTTGTGAGCTCAGAGACAACTTCCCCATGATCATCATCATGGAATTTGTAAGCCATCACCCTATCATATCCAGTAAGCTCAAACACCTCCTGAACCATGGTGTCACAAAGTCTTTCCATGCTCCCGCTAGGTAATGATTGCAACCGAGTTATTGCTTTAGCAGCAAGCATGTACGATTGCAGCGCACCCTTCGTTGACGTAGTCACCTCATAAGGCTTCACAGGTTCGAAGTCAATTATCAAGCTACCAGTGACCCGATGGACGATAGCATAAAACGGCTTCCCTGAAGTCTTGCAATGAACTAAGATGGGATTCAGAAGAGCAACATCCCCAAATCCAAGGGCCTTAAGCAAGGCAGTGGCACTAGGTGCTGTGAAGATAGTCCTCAAATCAGTTCCAATGCCCAGAAATGGATGGTCTCCCACACTTGGTACTGCATGATTAACCATCGTCAGCATTTCCGGAGCATTCTCGCTGTATGCAATCACTTTCAGTGACTTCTCGTCCAGTGCTAGCAAGCAGCCGAAAGGCTGGATCACCTTGCCCTTCTGGATATGATGAAGATAAGCTGTGGTTACTTTGTCGGACCTAGGTTGTTGACGTCCAGAGAGGGAACTGGTAACCCTCATTGAGCTCGAGTAGTCAAAAGAACTGCCCGACTCCTCAAAGTCCGCATGAAGCTTTGCATCCACCGTGGTCTGAGCAATAACTCTAGCGCTGTGCCTTGATCTCCCAGAGTTGCTGGAGGCTTGACTAGGTCTTGAAGTAGACATCTTTCCCTGAACTGTAAACAAAATAGGACAGTGAGACTGAGAGAGTTGCAGGGAATCCAATGGAATGAGGCATATCACAGCCTCTTTTACACAAGAGTTCGAAAGCAATAAAATCTATGAAATATTCCTAGTGCAAAGCTGAGAACCAGAGTAAACAACAAGAAGAATCTGAGCTCGGTTACACGTACAGGAAAGAAGCTGTAAGAGAAAGCATGAGTTGGGAAATGCTAGATTTTGCCAACTGAGCTCTGGGATAACTTAATTCGCTATATAAAGAAATAAAGGACTTCACTTTCACTACACAGCTTCAACATATCATCAATTTCGTTCATGGCAAGTGGAGGATTATTACAAAAAAAAAAAAAAAACCCAGTTGTAGTGACTTACCGTTGCTGCCTGCTAATGATACTGAGCTCCTCAACACTCTCTGTGACTACTCCAGTGAGTGACAACTTCTTGCTGGGGATAAGTTTTGCTGAGAATTTTCTTCTCCAAGCGTGTTGGTGTTGGTTTCTTAGCTCACCGGTAACCAGCAAGCTAAGCAGCTGAAAATGGTGGGTGGCGGCGAGTGTGGAAGAAGAAGAAGAAGAAGAAGAAGGAGAAGTGTTCCTTTCTAAGAGATTTCAAGATCAATCATTTTTGTCTCGTTGCTTCTTTCTGTCTCTCTCTTCCCATTCTCAACTGTCTACTGGACCGTGAACAAGATGAGGGCTCGTTATGTTTTTCAAGACAAAAGAAATTCTTTTGTTTTCTTTAAAGGAGGGAAAGTGTTTGTGTTTCACCGCCTCGGCGACCAAATAATCGGGTTCCACCACCACCCTGTTCGAGAGTATGGTGGTGGCATGGCGGGGAGGTTAAGGCCCATAAGCATACTTTTATCTTTATTCGAGAGTATGGTGGTGGCAATGGGCGGGGAGGTTGAGGCCCATAACATACTTTTATCTTTGTTTTTCTAGCAAATTTGCAGGAACCCAGAACTAAACGCTATGTTTGGTTAATAGGTCAAATACACACCTAAGCAGTTTTATGTGAGAATTTTTTAGTTTATTAGACACTATAATCGAAAGATTGGAGAATCAATTCATTAGATATGGGTACCTTTAGTAAATTTTATATGTATGTTTTTGCTTTTGTGTGAAAAAAATACATGATCATATTTAATTGTCATATTCCACCCCTAGTCGGTGAAATATGAAATCATAGCTCATTGACACAAAAGTTGAATACAAAACTCAAAATGAAAAAAATATCCATGTTGAGCAAGATCAATATACAATATTGTATCGCCACTCTCCACGCAACACAATTGTATATCACTATACTGCTATAATCTAGATACGAACTACAAATACGTTAGTGCTCCATACTTGCAAATAGGGTTGGGAATCCAGACCAAACCGTATGGGAAACCGCGGTCTAGACCGTATCGTATGGTTTGGTCTGGACCGTGAGACCAGAACTATGGTCTGGTCTGGTCTGCGGTCTCCTCCTTTAGTGCGTGGTCTGAAGTGGTTTGGACCGCGGTCTACCGCAGTAAACCGTAACAGACCGCGACACACTACCTACTACCTTGGACAAAAATAACACTAAATTGAACCTCCGTATATGTATTTGAAGAACAAAGTTAGTTGATTCTTCATCTAGTTGAGAGCCAACAAATTGCAAAATGATCGCTTATATGTTATCTCCTTATCAAAGTACCACACAAAAATTAGAAAGACTCATAAATAATATTCACAGATAATGTCTAGACTATGGAGTCGATAAAAATTAAACACTACAAAAAAATTCGTTCACCTTGATGAGATAATGAAAATTATTGAGAGATATGCGACCATCTTAGTGGTTCGAAATTCTTCGACGTCATCAAAAAGGTTATCAACTGGGAGAACCTTCGGATCACTCGAGAGAGGAGAGAAGCGGTAGCACAAAGAGGAATAGGGAAATAAGGCTATTTGAAAATTGAATAAACCCACTTCTATCCTCATATTTCTTCTCATTTAATACGATCACAATTTTTTTGTTTCACTAGCATATTGGTCACTAGATTTTTTTTATAGATACCGGTGAAGGGTTGGAGGGCGAACAAGAGTTAAGTTTTTTTTTAACATGGTCTGTCTGGTCCAGACCATACTGGACCGTATAGTATATGGTCTGGTCCATGGTCTGTGTTCCAACCTCTCGATCTGGACCACAGACCGTATCTATGGTCTGGTCTGAACCGGACCGCACCGTTTCCCACCCCTACTTGCAAAGATTGGTTTTTGCGGATAACCATACCCAGCCCCGCACTGGATAGTGGTTATCCACTAACCACTACAGTGCGAAGTGTGGGTAGCATAATTGTAAATTTGTAGGTGTGGGTGTCCGCAAAATGTGGGTCGGTAACCACACCCACCTCAATTTACACCCCTATCCATAACGCGATCATTCTTTCATCGTCTTTCTCATTCATTGGTATCTCATCACAACAGAAATACCTCCTAAAGTATACCAAATGTTACAGACAAAGACATTACAATCTCCAAAGACAGGGAGATGGCCTCTTTCCATTAATTATGCAATCAATTATACATAATGTGTGCCACAGGAAATGAACCTCATAGTCCCTCCGTTTTGGTTACTGCCATTCCCTAGTTTCACTTTTGGAGACACTTTAAACTGTAGAATAGCACGCAGTGCTGCCTCCTGGAGAAAGAAGACTTCACAGCTCAGGAGCCTAACCAGAACAACAGAGGAAGGAAGTAGACCAGCTTCAAGAAACATGAAAGACTGATTAAGGGACACGAGAAGTGGTATTGCACGTACCTTCAACAGAAGAAGAAATGCTGCTGCTGCTGCTATCTAGTAATCTCATCATCAGGCACATCTGGATTCAGGAACTTCATTGGATCTTTTCGCATGTCCTCGTAATTCAGGGTAGGCGTAACCCTATCTGGCACGGGAAGTAGAGGAATGATGCTATCCCTATCAATCACACCATCGATTATTCCGTACTCAACTGCCTCAATTGGAGACATGTACCGGTCCCTATCAATATCTTTCTCCACCTGCTCGATCGTCCGACCACACCAGCTTGAAATAAGGCTCACAATGTTCTTCTTGTTGTGCATGATTTCCCTTGCTTGAATCTCTACATCTATTGCTTGTCCACTAGCACCTCCAAGTGGTTGATGAATCATTATCCGTGTGTTGGGCATTGCCAAGCGCTTTCCTTTCGTGCCACCACCAAGGATGATGGAAGCTGTTGATGCCGCCATGCCGAGGGCAACAGTGGAAATGTCAGCCCTAACAAGTTGCACGACATCATAGATAGCCATTGTCGCACTGCACAAATTGATTCATGAGCCGATCAGAGAAGACCAGGGAGAATGGCATGCCAACAGCTGTTTTGCTAAGCATAATCCATCATCACGCATAAACAAAAACTGTTTGATTATGATTTGAGGGTGATAATTCAAATAACACAAATTGATTATGTTTTGCTAAGTACAATTTCCCAATACGAGCCTGGAAGATAAGCCTAAGACAAGAATGCACATAGCAAACAAACCGACAATCCTAAATCTCTAGTATGCAAGCACAATAGATCTTTACCATCAGGGTACGCAGTATTCAATAGTCTAAAAGAAGGTTATCTGGGTAATTATGAAAGTCACCAAACCAAAGACGGGGTAAAAGAGAACTTCAAAATGTAGAATGTTTATTTGCACAAAGCTTGCTCTAGTCCTATATCAAATTTATCAAACATCAAGAAGAAGGCGCAGGAAAGTTCCGAGGAGAAGAAGCAGAGACTCAATCAGCACTCAGCAGCGACCATAACCCACTCATTACACTGTTCTGGCAATTCATAATCCACATGCCTCATGGAGGGATTGAGCCAAAACTCGAGCACATTGCTCAACACTCCAACCTCAAACATGATATATCCTCCAGAAACAAAAATGTCGGCCAAATATTTGGTCCAAAAATCTCACCTTTAGCCAATAAACCAAACTGGAAATAGACGATAGAGGAAATCATCAGACATAAGCCACAACCATTATACCGCCCCATCTTCAAGTCATGGAGCGGAACCGGAACAGAAAGCTTTGGCATGCAGCAGGTGTGAATTTAATTACTGTTCCAAAACTGGAGACTAGGGAGAATTGAGCGTAGTTGTGGATTGAATCAAATTACCTGAGAGATCCTCCGGGAGAATTGACGAAGAGACGAATGTCCTTGGTGGGATCCTGAGCATCAAGGAGGAGCAACTGACTGATGATGGCATCGGCGACAAAGTCGTTGATTTCGTTGCCGAGGAACACAATCCTCTCCCTGAGCAGCAGGCCCATGGCGTCAGCCTCTGCTCCCCTCATGGCAGTGGCGGGAGACTGGGGGGAGTTGGCGGTGAGGGAAGAGGCGAGGAAGGAGGCATTTTGGTTGGAAGAGGGGTAAACAGAGGTTTTGGGATAAGAGGATGAGCAATGAAGAGCGGTAATGGCGGCCGCCGGTTTAGAAGGGAGCGAGGAGAAGGACGACGTTGAGAAGGATGCCACTCCTTTGCGATTGAAGCAGGAGGATACTGTTTGCGTTTGGTGCGGGATCGGAGGAGACGAGAGGGACAGTAACTCCATTGTTAGAGCTCGAGCGAGCAAGAGTTTTCCAAGGGAAAACAAGTCGGGGAGAGAGAGATACTTGGGGACGGAGGGGCTAAAGCGATGGACCTCTTCTGGGCTGGGCTGGGCTCGGTGATTTGCTCTAGTTTGGATCAGAAGATGGCTTTTTGGTTTAATTGGGCTTTTGGATCTCTCTGTTTTGGGTTAGGCTTCTGCGAAAAGATCCCCACCACTTTTTCTGGGACCCGGTTGAGCTAGTGGGTCAAGGGTTAATGGGTCACCCATTTTAGCCCGGTTTAGCCCGAAAATATGAAAAGCGTCATTCTATTATACTTATCCTGATAAATTATATCAAATCTCATCTAACATATGAGTTATAACATGTAATATTACACCAAAATAACATTTCGTACTTAGATTCAACATATAGTGAAAATTCACACACACTTATATTGAGCACTTCTACTATGCTATATAGTATTGGCGCTTTAATGTACAACTTAAAGTTGTACCATAACATTAAATGTATAAGTTTAGGTTGTCCCATAAAACAATTTGCACCATTATGTTATGGTACAATTTTACAACTTGAAGTTGTACCATCACATAAATGTACAAGTTCAAGTTGTATCATAAAAAAATTTGTACAAAAAGTATAGGTACAATCTGAAGTTGTACCATAACGTAAATGTACAATTTTAAGTTGTACCATAAAGGCAAAACCCTATAGCACTAATACTATATAGCATTGTAAAATTAGGATTCCAAAGATTGAGTTAGGCGAAAAGAAAAATCGGAAAATAGGCGCATTTCCAAAACAAAGAAAAAAAAGGCACAATTTGACCTCCAACTCGGTACCTTATAGCGGTCGACCCGGCGGGTGCGTGCGGCCCTTTTTTCTCACCGGATCAGGGTCAAAGTGTGTTGGGTTGACAACCTTGCTTTCTACTCACCAATCGCCACCGCCATCGCCATTAACTCGCCGCGCGCCACTTTCTCCCGCGGTGCCGCCACCGCCCACCACCGTCCTTGCTCGTCGTCGATGGTAAAAGAATAAGCAAGGTGGCCGCCACATCGGTTTCCTGCCGTTTGCAGAAACTCTGTTAGCTTGCACCTTAGGTTGAGGATAATGGTGGGTTTCAAGAATAGATACATGGTGATGGAGGTTTTCTTGGACCCAAATCGAGACATCAAAGGCGATGGTTCTATTATCATTACGCCGTTCAATTTGTTGAAAGCGATTAAAGATAGCATTCTTCCGAACTTTGGGGAGTGTTTCTTGGCTTCGTCACTTGGTTCACTGCAAGGTCTGTTGCAGGTTCCTTATCTAACTTCATGTTTTGTGCCTACTTATGAAAATTGTTCTTTCTCTATCTTCCTGGATATGTTTTCACTGCAGTCAAGTATGTGAACCCTATTTACAAAGATATGCATAATCAGAATTTCTAGAGAGAACCATCAAAAAGTCTGGTCAGCTATTACCATGGTGCGGAGGATTGGGAATTGCCCTGCATTTTTAGAGGGTTCATGTAGGAATGGTAACAAAACCCGAACCCACGGGTACCCACTCGACCCAACCCGGTCAACGCGGGTAAAACCCGTGTTGACGGGTTTTGAGCCGGATTCGGGTTTAAACCCGCTACACTATTCACCGGGTCGGGTTGGGTTTGGGTTTAGGTAAACCCGCCCCATGGGTACCCGCCCACACACATATAATTACTTTCCCGGTATATTTAATATTCTAAATAATATATCGTGCTTAAATAACTAATATTCTTTATGTTTGTGGAGACATGTATAATTTATTCTTTCTAATTGTTTAGAATGAAGTTGATATTATGAAGTGGAGAGTGAAGAAACTTAGTTGACGAGGAAGAAGCTTTCAATTAATCTTATTGTTTATGGATGTTTATCTTTAATTTTGAACAATTTGTATTGTTCATTTGCGGTTTGCTTGTATGCTCTAGATTGGTGTTTTTTGTATGATTAATTTGTATGAGAAAATTGATGTTAAACTTTTATTTTGAAAAAACTTGTTATCGTAAATTTTTACAACAAAAACCCACGGGTACCCATGAACCCGCGGATACCCAGCGGGTTGGGTTGGGTTTGAGTTTTTCAAACCCAACGGGTTATACCCCGGGTTTTTTTGGCGCATAAACCCATAGGTTTGGGTTTGACAAAACCCGCCCCAACCCGACCCATTGCCATCCCTGGGTTCATGAGATTCGTTGTTTGCATCTATCTTTACTTGGGGATTTACCTTCTTCACGTTCCCCTTCTTTCCCTTTTTACTACGACACAGGAAGCATAAGGGCTTGTAGAGCAGCTGCTTTGAAGTGTGATGAGAAGAAGTTTGAGCACTACAAGCTCATGGCTGGAGAGAGTTTGGCTGCTGATGATAGTCAACGCATGCAAAACCATCTGGAGAAGATCAAATTTTTGGAGAACTGAAATTGTTGCTGCCTGATTTGGTAGAGAGAAGGTTCTTTGCGTGTCTTTGTCGATATAGTAATAGTTTTGTGTTTTGCACATTTCTCAGAAAAGGTTCGTAGCTGGTGAGTGTGTAAAGGGACAATGTAGCTTCCCCCGTCGGTGAGTGAGGCCAATGAGTTATCCAGGAATACATATTCGGGGAAAAAAACATTGACATTTGGAGGAAAATACAGAAAATATAAGTACTTAATTATAATTTCCCAACGAATCATGACTTCCATTCATGAATCCACTAAATATATAGATGTAAAGGATGGATCGAATCCACCAAACATGGTAACCAGCAGGTGTTAATCAATGATTGCTAAACTGCGTTGCTGATTGTATTTTAAAACTCGTTTATCGCCATACATTCCGGTAGGTAAATGTTATGAAAAACATCATTTCAGCCGATTATGGGTAGTTAAATTGACAAATTTTCAATATGCTAGTTGTTTTTTTTTTGGTATATTTCACCCTATAATACTAATTGAATATTTTATATTGTTTTGTTGAAACAAAATATTGCATAAATCTGCTATCAGTTGTATCACTAAAATATTATATCACTATTTTTTTTTCTTTACCAATACGATTTTGCGAATATGATTTCAAAAACCATGACTTTAACTTCATGAGGAAACAAGGTGAAAAGAATAAGCTCAAAACATATCCGACAAACAAAACCATTTTATTTCTGTTAGTAACGACTCCCAGCCGGCGGCATTTGGTGTTGTTGTCATTAACCAGCATGGACAAGTGTGTGACGGGCGAGCTGACACCCTCCTTTGTTCCACCCCGTTCGAAGCCGAGACAAAAGCTCTATTGGAAGGTCTCAAATTAGCTCAAGAATATGGCACGGAATGTGTTGTCCAGTCTGACTGCCAGACGTTAGTCAAAGCTCTTAATCAAGATTCTCGAAATTGGCCATGGCGAGGAGCAGCCGGGATTGGATCAATGGTTTCAATCCTGCGAGTAAACCCTCAAATCAAGGTCAAAGCAGTGTCGCGTAATTGTAATGTCAGAGCAGATTGGGTTGCGCGATCTCTTGCTAGATCGTCTCTCCCAGCTAACTGGATTAGTGTTCTTGACCTAATTTCTGATTTCCTTTGAGATTTGTAATCGTTTTCTTCGTATTGGTGTTGGAATAAAATATGATTATTACTGTAAAAAAAATATATATATTTCTGTTAGTAAAGACACGTGGTGTGGCTGAATTACACGAGTAATAAACGACAAATATGGAATTTGCACTTTTGTGTAAAATAAACTGAAACAGGTATATTTTGTTGGAAGTTAAAATAACATGGAATATAAAAAAAAAATTATATGTATAAGAACTAAGAAGGTTGGCCTATTCAATATCAATCAGCGGCTTTGGATACTTTAAAGCTGATCGTGCCTGCCAGCTTCACTCACTCGGTTTCGTTCGTTGAACAAGAAGAGGGTGACAAAAGCATATCATGGAATGAAGAACAGCTAGCTATTTTAGAAAGCGAAATTTAAGTAGAAAATCATTGGAGTCGCCTAATCAATCATATTATCATATCCTTCTTTAAGAAAAATTAGAAAGTCCTATCAATCAGATGGGAGCGATGAGGTGGGGTTTCTGTTTTACACCACCATACGGAGGGACACAGTGACTGCACAAATTATACTATTCTTTATCAATTTCTTTACTTTATTTTTATCTAAAAGGGGGAAATATAAAGTGAAGGCTGGAAGTTGAGCAGTAAAGCCTTGTTCTTTTCTTCTTTTAGCTTGTGGGTAGGAGGAAGGGAGGAAGGAAGGAAGGAGCTTGGAGTCGGGGGAGAAATGATGGAGGAGAGGCGGTGGAGAAGGGTTGAGCAGCAGATTGTGTTGTTTCTAGTACTGATATTCTTCTGCATTCTGGGTTGCACCTCTGCTGCCACAGATCCATCCGATGGTATTATTCTCTTTCTTCCTGTCTTTCTCTCTCCACCTCCTCCTTATCTTAACTTGCTTCCTTTTACCTGGGTACTTTTTTGTTTCTTCGTATGATGATAAAGTTCCTTCCTTCAAATGTGTTGGTTTGGATCTTCCCTTTCCCTTTCTTCATCTGCACTTGTTTTCCTTCTCTTCCATTTCCATGCTTCCCCTTTGCATCATTGCTTTGGCTTTGGACTTACCACAGTCTTGCTTTGGGAGCAAACATTCTCGTTGGAGCTTTCTTTGACTTGCCAAAGGTTGGTGTAGCTAGGCTACACAAAGTGGTGGTTCGTGTTGCTCTGTGGAAATCAGTTCACAGTTCTAGTTCATTAGCTACTTGAGGAGGACAACACACACACCACTGGAACTCATCTCTGTTTTCTGGGATTGCTGGGACTCAGTTACTTGCTCTGACGTCAAAACTAGCTTAGCTCATTTCTCATCTGCACTGGTAGCCGGGGCCGTAAGTCCCAAATACTTTTAGCAGACATTGACAGAGGATACGATTTATGGACCTTGATCTTATTCGTTCCAATTGTTAGTTTTCCTGTTGGATAGGACGGACTGGCTCATCATATCTACTAAGCAACAAACTTTCATGTCTACCTCAGAGGAAGCTTTGCTTCTGAACCCCCAAAGATATAATTTTTAGAATCCGTGGTTCATTTAAGAAAGAGGCTGTGGATCATTTACTTTGGAAGGGTGGAAGAGTTAGCTAATGATGCAAGTTTACAATCTCAGACCCAGAAGCTTTGAACTCTGGAGTTTCTTGCAGTATTTCAAGGAAATGGCATTTGGGATCTTTGTCGTATATTCACAATAGAGCTATTCTTTCCCAATTTTGCAACTACTAGATTCTGTTAGGAGTAAGCCTTGTCAAATGGTTAGTGACTAGCGCATGTATGTGTTCATTCATAAGTAGTTGTACACCCCAACTTCTGGTGACACCCTGGTTGTGATGGGGGGTGGTGGGAACAGATTAAGGCGGTGCTCTGGGGAGGGGATTATCGAAGAAAATATTCATCTTAGTCGATAGGTTTTCCCAATTTTTGAGAAAGTAAGTGAATAAAATTGTTTTTTTTTTATCCAAGATGTTAGTCAATAGGTTTTCGCAAATTAGTGAATGATAATGTATGTCATGTGATTGTCACAAGTTACTGGATGCTGATATTGAATTCCTCCTGTTGGAGCTACCTCGCTCATTGACAACTAAACATTTCCAGATGACCCATGTTTGAGGCTAGTAAAGTTTTATTGTCCAGATATTCAGTTTATTTTATTGCATACCCTTTGATATTGATCTTGCGTGGATGATTAATCTTCATTGTCCCTCAACAGATGTTAATTACATGGTCTCAATTGCGTAAATGATTGTATAATCAAGAAAGATCCTCATTATGAAGATGCTTGTGTACGCATTATTATTAGTAGGATTCTGCTTCACTCTTTACACTATGAAACGAGGAACAATCAGTTGTATACAATAAAATCATTTCCTGAAACAGTAGAGTTCCCTCTGCTAATTGATTGGTCAACCTTGCAGCTTCTGCTCTACGTGTCATGTACGTTTCCTTAAACTCACCAGGACAGCTGACCCAGTGGAGTTCAAATGGCGATGATCCTTGTGGCCAGAACTGGAAAGGCGTTACGTGCTCTGGCTCACGAGTCACGGAGATGTGATCTTCTACTGCACCAGTTCATCTTTGTTACATTATATCGTTAAAAGATTAATTTTGCAACTGATCATTTTGCTTGTGTGTTCGATGTGTCTTACCAGCAAATTGTCCGGTCTTGGACTCTCGGGGTCAATGGGGTATCAGCTTGACAGTTTAAAAGCACTGAAAAACCTGTGAGAGCAATGTGCTGTCAGTTCTGTTATGTTTCCTTTTGAATGCCTCCCCCCTTCTTCTGTCCGCCCTACCCTGACTCTTCTCTCTTTTTTCTCTTCTTCTAATTATTTAACCCGTGACATGGTGTTGGCAGAGACATGAGCAGCAATAATCTCGCAGGCAGTCTACCTTACC